CATAACCATCATATCATCATTACTATTATCATCATATTGCCACTGCACTACTTGTCTGCCTATTCATCTTGTGTTTCTGTTTTTGTTCTTTTTACCACAATGTTTTGTTTTGTTCTATTGCATTGTGTTTTGTTGTGTTCCGATACACAAGCTGCTGTGCAGCTCGAGACGCAGAGCCTTCGCCCCGACAGTCAACACTAACTGAAGCGTTCGGTCGACAAGGTCAATATAAACGGAACAGCGCAAAATGGTGTGTGCTCATTAAAAGTGAAGTTCGCTACTTCACTAAAGTTAAAAAACACTAAGAAATAAAGCTTTATTTCCTCTGAAAGGGTGTCATTATTGTGATATATTATCATGTTGACAATAATATCGTTTATCGGCAATAATTCGTGTGACAATGTATCGTCCAGCAAAATTTGTTATAGTCCCAGGCCTCCACCATATTCCATTCTCACATTACATCCCTCCATACCCCGAACCCCCAGGACCCGACTTACCTGATACCCCAACTGTCAGATTGGGGTAAACGTAGCATCGTACCTCAGGTCCTCTGATGCTTTTCATTGGCTGCTCGGTGACTTTGTGTCACATTGAAATCTAGATCTAGGTTATTAATTATTATTTATTATATTTTATTAATTATTGTACTGTACCACTATGATGTTACCCTGATGTAGAGGGCTGCATTGGCCCGCAGGACCCAACGCAAATCTCGTGGGAGCAGGTGGTTTGAACTCTCGTCTACAATGGACACAAATCCAGCACGTCTGGGTTGAGGCCACACACCTGCTCTGTTCTCCCCAGTCAAAGTAAGCTGCTTTTCAAGGAGAGCTATTCCTGACCAGTGTGTAGCCGGAGGCTTTCTTCCTCACGGCCACGGTGTGGCACCAGGTTAATTGCTGGGCGGCGCCGGTTGACCGCTTATAACCGGGTGAGGGGCCACACCACGCCCTTTCCTTTCCACCCTTTGTTCTCGGGTGGTGGCTGCAGCGTGGTGTGGTAAGCTTCTGGGCACGTCCCCCATACATACAGGTACGGTAGCGCACTTCCTCTGTTATCCATGACCAACGCAATGTGCACAGTGGTGACACCGACTTCCAACTCGGTACTTGGTATTTTCCTTATTTTGTAGCTGAGTTGTTTATTATCTGTTATCTTTATTGAGTGTTTATTTTATTTTGTTATTATTGATTTGAAGTGTGTGCATGCGCATGCAGTTAATGTTATTATTATTTTGAGCACTTATGGTATTATTTTAACTTTTTCTTTTGTGTTGGACTGTCGCTGTGGGCCCCCAGCGGCAGCCCAGATTCCCTGCTGGTGGTGTTCATCACGATCCTTTTTTAGTTGTGCAGTGTCACGGTTGTGATCCCTCTTCCCTTTTTGCTCCCCTGCCTCGGTGGTAAGCCCCAGCCCTGTCCTTCTTCCTTAATTTCCCGGGTAGTTAATATTTATTGTTTATTTGTGTATTGTGCAATATTAATTTTAATTGTAATAAAAATATACTTTTATATGGAACGCTCTCTGCCCTCTGTGGATAATTGGACATGTGCGACCTTATTTATTAATTCATTTATTTCCTAGGGGTGAAATTCCCCTAGGTGGCGTTGTTTGCAAAAAAACCACAACCCAGTCTGCCACAGGTGCATCAAAAAGAAACAGCTGTGATGTCGGTGGTGGATGTTTAGCTGGAAGCTGATGAGGTTTGTTTACAAGAATAAAATTTGAGGAGTCTTTGCTAAAACCACAAAACATGCACATTGAAAAATCAATCCAGGCCTAATAGAATGTTTTTGATCTTTTCAATGTGGTCGATGTTTTTTTGTCACTCTCGAAGATTTGAAAAAATACATTTAGACACTCGTGAATTTTGCTGATTTGCAAACAAACCAAAGTTTTTATACAAAAGCTATTTTCAATAATGCACTGATGCAAGTATGTCATTTTTAATAATGCTCTAAAATTCAAGATTCAAAGATTCAAGTTTCCCTGTGAACTGAAATTCTTGTGCTGTCCTTTCTGGAATACCAGCCGACCAAAATTGACATTAACATACAATATTTACATAAAATATAAAAAGGATATGAACATGTTTAAAAGTAAGGCAGAAACAAGGCGGATGAGGTGAATAAGGTGAGGATTGTGCAAAACTGAGCTGTGCAAATTGAACATTAACAGTGAAAATTAAATAAAATGTATACAATATAAATGTAAACAGTACAAATGGAATACTTTATGTTAAAGTGCAGACCAGTGTTACAGTTCGTGAGGTAGGTTATAGACTCCTGTCAGCTGTTTAGCAGTCTAATGGCAGTGGGGAAGAAAGATGCGGTGGCTGTGGCTGAGGGGTAGAGCAGTGTTTGTTTGTTTGTGATGAATGACAGAACTGTGTTGTTAAGCACTTTGAATTTTCATCAAGACCCATATAAATACTAACCATAATATTAATGAATGTTTGAGAGAATTCTAAGCACATCTACATAAGAAGTAACTGTATAATTAATCATTATAATATATATGTATAATCATATAGTCTTTCTGTTTGAATGGAGAAGATGACTGAAGCGCCTTATGTGGTTGACATGGTAACATCATGATTACTATTACTTCTCCACCCATCTCTCCTCTCCTCCCCTTTTTCTTTGCTCACCCCAACCAGTCGAGGCAGATGACCTCCCGCATTGAGTCTGGTTCTAGAGGTTTCTCTCTGTTAATGAGGGAGTTTTTCTCTCCACAGTCGCCAAAGTGCTGCTCATTGTGGGAACTGTTGGGTTTCTCTATATCAATACAATTTTAAGGTCTTGACCTTCTATGTAAAGTGCCTTGAGATAATGTATATTATGATTTGGCGCTATACAAATGAAATGGAATTGAATTGTATGAGTCATGAGAGAATACATGTGGTTAATACACTCGTTACTTTTAAAAACCTGCACAGATGCATTTTCATTATGGGATGTCAAGCCAAGGTAAACACAGACTTTGATCACGTGGTTATTTTCATACAAACATGAGCCATGAGAGAGACTGATGAACAGGACAGACCGGTCCAGAGGAGGGTGGTGGAGTACAAAAGCATCTGTTCCAGGATCTTACCTTTTAACTGCAGAGGAGACACACAAGGTAACATGTGTTAATATTAGATATATATTAATACTCAGCGTTGATTCTGTCATGGTGTTAATCCTTAGCTTGTGTTTTTCATTTAAAGTCATTGAAGCTAAACACTGAAGACCAAAGAAATCTGTCACTTCTTCAATTCTTCACTTTTATTTGAAGGACTTTGACTTTGTTTGTCTCATATTTCAACTCTTTTCATTTCCTTTAAACGCTTCTTAATGTTTGATCTCATGCTGCTTTCACAGTTTCTCACTGTGTCTTTTATATTTTATGTGAAGCACTTTGACCTGAGTTGTTTAATGAAACCAGTTATGGAAACAAACTTGTCTTACTTTGTTCCTGAACACCTCATCAGGACGAGTCGAGCAAAACAAGATCAACAACATTCCTCATCTGACTGGAAATTTTTTTATACATGTACAAAATGTCTTTGACACTGTACAAAAAGCTGCAAAACCTTTTTCATGTGTTCAAAATACTATAACTAAACATTTAACATATGTACTAAATATTTACGTAGCTTCACATGTTTTTTTACACACATATATATAAAACTGAAGTACAACTACAACATTATTTCACAAAATATCAGAAACTCAGTAGAGCTCAGTCCTCAGTCTATTAAATTCTATACAGCTGAACCAAATGACTCGTAGGTATCATTCTAAATGTGTCTCCACTTACAGAGACAACATGATGTCCAGGAACCTGCTGCTCATCCTCCTGATCTCCTGTGTCTGTGGTCAGTTCACATCTTCACTTCATCGTCCATAAACTTCAAATAATCAAATAGTTCAGGTCCTCACTTTCTCTCTGTGTCTCTCAGCAGGAGCATTAGAGGTGAAAGTGTCACAGCCCCTCTATCAGGCAGAGGAGAACTACAGCGTCACACTGGAATGGAAGTTCACACCTGAACCTGACACATCCAACAACTCTCTTTCTATTGTCTGTAAGGAGACGACTGACCAGCAAGACTCAAAGATTCTGTATCATCTAGATGAAGGTAACGAGGGGTCAGGGTCTCAGTTTTCAGGACGAGTCCAGTGTGACAGAGACGTCCTCAGAGAAGGACGACTYAGACTTCATGTGTCCAGACTCAGGACTGAAGACTCAGGACGGTACAAGTGTGGAGTCAGGACAACACAAGGCTGGGGTGCAGACAAATGCAGACTGAATGTCACTGGTAAGTTGATTCAATAGATTTCAGTATTTGCTAAGACTTTCATTCATGAGTCCAGGATAATAAACTGCAACTGGAAATRGATAAATAGGTTCCAGCCTGAATTGGCCACATTTTAATTTTGAGCTTTCTGTCCTTTACAGCCACTGTTGCTCAGGAACCACATACGACAACAACTGTGAGCCCAGAGCCAGAGAGTCAGAAATGGTGGCTCGTCTTACTTCTTGCACTAGCAGAGATAGTAGTAGTGATGGTAGCTGCAGTTATCTTTTGTAAACGTAGCAGGAATCAAAATAGTGGAAAGAGCAGCTGTGGGAATGACATTGCGACGCTGTGACAGAGACGCTTCTTCACTTTCTGTCCGGGCTGCTGCAATCTAACTTGTCGTTGTTCCAGGCAAAGACCAGGTCTCCAGTATTATCACTCTTTAATGCTCAGAGCATTAAAGTGCACAAGAAAAGGTTGGTTTGTGCTATGCACGCCAATGGGAAGCTGTTCTTTCTCTATATACATTTGGCTCGTTCCAACCTCTCTAGTCAGGGTTGTGTCCGAGCTAAAGGTCAGTATTTTCTGAGGACATCAGGGCAATGATGCCTTAGTTTAGGCATTCAGGCCAAGATTCAATCAGTTGCACAGTATTCAGCATGATGAAGGTTACAAGTTTCAATCATGATCAATCATGATCAATCATAGGGGAAATGAACATGAGGACTTCCTGCCTGATCAAAATGTTACATTTCCCTTAGAGACGAGTCCTCATTTCTGTGACAATATGATGTTGACTTAGTCAGGTACTAAAACTCAGGTAACTTCATCGTCTCATGAAGACCACTAGTTCTGAACTTTGTCAAACCACTTGTACAACTTCAACAGTGAAGTTCATGATAAATGTCAAGAGCTCAAGTTAAATATGGTTCATATTTTCATTTTACTGTTGTTATTGAAACAGTGGTGATGTAGGTGGTAGATGTTTAGCTGTAAGCTAATGATGAGTATTTTGATACTGTGTTAAGCGTAAGGCACAGTGCCGTCTTCAGATTGCACTGTTAACCCTTATAGCTAAGTCAAGCTGCCGTCACTGTGACGTATGGATACGTTTACAAGCTAAAAAAACTGCCCACTTTAAAACGATTTATATGTTTTAAACTATGAAGGGATTTATTGCTGAATAATTTCATTGACATGCACTTTTTGTTTCTGGTTAAAAACGATGTGTAATGTGTAATGTGAACAGTAAAAGTTACTAGCTGCTAAGTGATAGCTTCGGCTTCAGTGAATTTGGTATCTTAAAAATGTTCTGAGTACATGAAAGTGATCCAGATTGCACTGTGAACCCTTATAGATGCTGCATGTGTCATAAATAAAACCTATCGCCACCATTTCCGAGTCCGTTCCTTTGGAACTCAACCGCCCGCACCGGATAGGCAATTTAACAAACAACACAACGCAGAGCAACAGTGTGCACATCAATCCAGGCCTAATACAATGTTTTTGATCTTTTCAATGTGGCCGATGTTTTTCGTCACTCTCGAAGATTTAAAAAAAACTGAGGGGTAGAGCGGTCGTCCTCCAACCAGAAGGTCGGAAGTTCAAACCCCAGTCCTCCTCATCAAGATGCTGAACCCTGAATTGCCCCTCGTAACAAAGTGCTGCTTATTGCTGCACCGTGTGTGTGTGTGTGTGTGTGTGTGTGTGTGTGATGAATGACAGAACTGTCTTGTTAAGCACTTTGAGTGGTCATCAAGACTTATATAAATACTAACCATAATATTAATAAATGTTTGATAGAATTCTAAGGACATGTACATAAGAAGTAACTGTATAATTAATCATTATAATGTATATGTATAATCATTTATATAAATAAATTCGATTTTTAAAAAGTGACTTCCCTGTGTTGTGAAGAGTTTAATATTTATACTTTTCCAGCTGGAAAAAACAAGTCCATGCTCTTGTAGTACTTCAAAGTGTCCACTAGATGTCAGCACTCACCTCCAAATTAATCGCAGTTGTCAGAATCAGGTTCGGGTCACGTGGGGTCGCTGTGTAAACGTAGTGTAGGTGTGGATCTGGATCAGGGGGCGGAGCCAGGATTTCTTTCCTTAACTTTTCTGACATTTCACCTGATTTCTCTGAGAACTCAAAGTTCTTCATCGTGATGTTTCCAGGGCTGTTATTTATGAGTGTGTGTGAATTTAAGGAACCTTGGTGGAATGGTATCAATACTATATAGCCTATATTTGGTGTGTATATATATATATATATATATATATATATATATTTGTGCCTTTGCATTGAGAATTCAGTAGAAAGAGTCTTTAGATTCATTTAATGAAGCTGAACCTTTGTTGTTCAAGTCACTTTTCTTTTTCCAGTGTTCTGTTTATTCAGAGCAAACACACTCGGCACCATCTCCTCCTCAGATCAGTTCATTCTGAAGTAAACACATGAATGTTGTGCAGAACAGTTTGTCTTCCTCAGCAGGAGAAAACTCTCTCTATCCACAGGGGGAGTTTCCTGTCAGGAGGAGGAGGAGGAGGAGGAGGGAGAAGTGGGAGGAGAGGAGAGAAGGAATGTCCAAACTCTGCCATTGTGTTTGGTTGTTGCACGACCAGAGAGAGGGAGGGAGGGAGGGTGCTGGGAAGTAGAAACCCTCTGAGAAGGAGGTGTGAGTCGATCAGTCAGCCGTCGACAGAGGAGCAGCTCCCTCACGCCTGGTGATCGATCCCAGAAGAGTTTCACCTCGTCAACCAATAGGTCGACTGATCCGAGGCCTCGGGATTCAGAAGGTCGACTAGTGTGACGGCAGATTGGTCGACGGGGTCGGGAGCCTCCTTTTGAAACCAGATCCAATGATTTCAAATCCGATAAAAAGTAAACAAAAGATCTGATCAGTTTTCCTCCAGATGAACTTGATCCCGAAAACTCATCCATCCGCTGATTGATTGATTTGACTGGTTGAGTCTGATTAAAGGCGGGGAAATCCGGATCAGCGGATTGGACGATTGATCAGCTGTGTCAGCTAATTGCTCGAATCGGAAGCTTTTTAGCTTCGGTGCCGCGACGATGAGCGAAGCCGGGGACGTGGTGTGTGAAGGCTGGCTGCGAAAATCGCCACCGGAAAAAAAGTTACGGCGTTACGTGAGTACCTGCTTTTTCATATTGTATGTTCGGACAAAATTGTAATGTTGTGTGCTCTGCGAAACCGACCGGGAAGGAATTCATTGCATTTGAGTGCAGATCCAGATCGAACATTCATAATTATTAAAAAACAAAAAACTGACATTCAGAGGACTGATGTTTACGACTGTGTGGATGATGGTTCAGATCCAAATAAAGATCCAGAGCTAGAGAGGATGGAGGAGGAATAGACAGAGGTGTGTTCTAGTTTTTAATTTAGTTTGTTTACACACTGTTCACTCATTTCCTCAAACTACAGAGTTATAATCATAAAGCAACAAAACTCTCTGCAGGACACAGCTGCTCGTCGCTCTGGTTTTGATCTCAGGTTATTAATCCACCAAGAATTTTATTTCTAAAATTAATATTGTTTTATTTGACCAATTAAGGATTTTTTTAAAGGATAATTTAACAAGTATCAACAAAATAGTTGCTCAACATCAAATACCACAGACAGACACGCAGATAGAGATGTATAGAGAAATAGAGAGATAAAGGCAGCAAAGCTCACTTTCCAGTAAAGAAGCAGCTTACACACACACACACACACACACACACACACACACACACACACACACACACACACACACACACACTGCATATCTGACATGCCTTGCCAGTGAGTTGAGCTAATCACATCTCTCCCATCCATATTTTCACTGTTACTCTCTCTCTCTCTCTCATTCTCTCTCTCATTCTCTCTGTCTTTCTTTCTATCGTCTCCTCCTGTGAACATGTAAAGAAAGTGAAGGAGGAATTGAATTAAAAAATAAAGATTGTCTTTCCTGCTGTAGTGTGATGGAGGAGTTGGGACAAATATTTGATTTATAATGATATATACAAGCCACTCTGTACACACACACACACACAGTTTTACAACAGCAGAGGAGTGTGTGTGTTCATGTGTTCATGTTAAGTTCTGGGCCAAAGTTCACAGAGTGTACCTCATCATACACTGTGTGTATGTGTATGTGTGTGTGTGCGTGTGCGTGTGTGTGTGTGTGTGTGTGTGCCCTGAATTATGTAATACACTAATCGCTCTCAGCTGGGCCTGTTTGGAAGATCAGGCCTCCCTAAAGATTTAGAGGTTTGGAAACACGCACACACACACACACACACACACACACACACACACACACACACACACACACACACACCCTGGAATAGAACCAAGCAGAATGATGAGGTGAATTAAACCTTTAGCACAACAGCAAACGTCACACACACCAGGTCAAACACAGTTTAAGGACAAAGAGTCTTTGGTTTTGCAGGAAAATGTTTTGATGATCTAATTTCAATCATTGAGAAACATCTATTTAATGTCTTCTTTGATTTTTTTTAGTTTGATCCATGTCCCATCTGCTAACATGGAGGAGGCAGGGTTAATAACGTCAAGAGCAGTTTTAAAACCACTCACTGAAATGTGTTATTATTAATATTTAATTCATAAACTATTCTGGGACTTTTACGTCGGCACTGATGCACAACAAGGTGTGACAGTGAGGGAGGGAGCTCCGGTGATTTCTCATCTGCAGACGTTTGATGTCAGGACTTCACTGTCACTGTCGAAACTGAAAACTTTGAAACTGAACGTGTCAGGAGGTCACATGTCGGTAAATAAGGAACTGACGTAGAGCGTAAATAGTTTTTCAGGTCTGTGGTTAATTTTGATTTGGAGGCAGGATGGAGGAAGTGGTTTTTTTTAGATCTATTGTGCCATCTTCCTGTCGAGGTCAGAGGTCAATGGAAGAAACAAAACTAAAGAAGAAAGGAGAGAGAAAAGGTGAAGAAGAGATTAGAGAGGGGTTTTAAGGAAAAGAGGTTCTCATTCATAATGTTAGTGTTTAGATCTGGGCTTGATTTTAAGATTTAAGATTAAACTTTATCTTGAAAACAGAAACAGAAATTCCAACAAAGCTGAGGATGCAGTTCCTCTTTGGAACGGTTGTTGGTCGGGGGGGTTGTAGTCTTTCTGTTTGAATGGAGAAGATGACTGAAGCGCCTTATGTGGTTGACATGGTAACATCATGATGTATTACTAGCAGCCTCCGCACCTTAAGGCACAGAACTCCACAGTACTCCACAGTACTACAGTACTCCACAGTACTCCACAGTACTCCACAGTACTCCACACTAGTTCGAATGCACCAGATGAACGTCCTCGTGGTTCAAACGTTATATCGTCGGAGCAGAAGACTGCAGCTGCTTCCTCCTCTTTTTCTTCTTCTATTGTTTAATGCTGTCTCTTCTTCCTGTGAATGGCCCAAAAGTCCACATTTTCCCAAAAAGTGTTTTCACTCCGAACAGAACCATGGTTCAGTTTGATCCAGACTCAGAACACCTCTTCTCCCACAGGGACCTTTCACACCGGATATTTTGGTTCAGACTGAACTGAAAAGTCCAAAGGTCAGAACCAGACAAGGTGCGAAGGTGAACTAAGAACTAATCCTGTCAATCAGGCAACATTAGTGGATTTACAAACAGCGGTTGTAATGCTCCTTTAATTCGAACACAAAGACAGAAGATAGACTGCTCGTGTTTGTTCAGCCGCCTGAAGACGACTGATCATCAAACAGAGCGACGGAGAATAAACACACACATCCACTGCCATCGCTAACCGGCATTTCCTGTTCAGCTACTTCCTGTTCCTGTCTGTGTTTGTAGAGAAATGTGTGCTGCACTGTTTAATCACTCGTGCACACACTCGCACACACTCGTGCACACACACACACACACACACACTGATGATTAAATGTTAACTGTTCACTCACTCTTTTCAGTTAGTTAATTCACTTCTTCCTTTAAACAGATAAACACAAGTGTGTGTGTGTGTGTGTGTGTGGACACACATGTTAAATTAAAATCCATCTTCGTGCTCTGTTTCACATGTTTAAATAATCATGATGTGTCTTTTGCACACACACACACACGCACACACACACGCACACACACACACGGGTGGTGATTCATGTCTGAAATATGAAGTGTCATCACATGGATTACTCATGTGGGATGGACCCTACCCATAATGCTCAGCGCATGATGGCATGAACCAGAGCAATGTCAAACATTTAGTGTGTGTGTGTGTGTGTGGGGGGGGCTCAATGAAAAAACCAAAACAATCCAAACAATAACTCTGATGAGTTTCAGTGATTGACGTGTTAATGCTGCTGGATTCTCAAGATAGGAAAGTTTCTGTGTTGTGTGATGAGGATTCTAACCTGTAGGAGGCACAAGTGGGGCCTTGAAGTTTGAGTCTGTCAGAGATGTTTTTTTCATTATTAAGTGAATCCTATGTTTATGTAACATCAAACTATTATTTCATGGATTTAAATTTGCATTAATACAATTTTGTAACCAAAATAAAAGCCGCCTTTACTTCATTCGATAATAGAACTGCTGTGTTTCTCCAGGCGTGGAAGAGGCGATGGTTCGTTCTGCGAAGCGGTCGACTGAGCGGAGAACCGGACGTTTTACAGTATTACAAGAACCAACAGTCCCGTCGACCAATCAGGACCATCAACCTGAACCTGTGTGAACAGGTAAAGCAGACGGACACACGACTGTCGGACACAGAGCTCGAGAGATGACGGGAAAAAAAATCAGCGAAGGTCAAACCACTTTGTTTTAGATCGGTGATTCAGTGATGACCTGAAAGAATGAATGACCATCCATCATCTGAAGTTCATCCTTTGAGGGTCACATTAGAGGCCGACGCCGACCTGAGACAAGCGGAAGAAAATGGATGGATGCATGTTTACACACCTCTGTGTTTCAGAACTGACTGCTCTGTCCGCTTGTTCTCCCTCAGGTGGATGCCGGCCTGTCGTTCACCAAGAAGGAGCTGGAGAACAGCTTCGTGTTCGACCTGAGGACGGAGGAGAGAACCTGGTACCTGGTGGCCGAGTCTGAGGAGGACATGAACCGCTGGGTGTCCTCCATCTGCCTGATCTGTGGCTTCAACCCGACAGAAGAGGGTACGTGAGAATCAATCACGATAGATTGACGGAATCACACGATCCCTTCTTGTTTTGGACGTTTGTGTGGGATGTGGCTGAGTCAGTGTGAAAACTTGTGGGAGGACGGAGGAGCGAGAACACGCACGAGAGAAATATGGACAAAAAAAACGTCTTCAGGATCGAATGTGTGTGTCTCAGATGTGTAGATGGTAAAATATTTGAAAATATAATAAAATATGGTGTTAGATTCAGCAGCTTGTCTGTTCACAGTCATTTGAACTTTTACTTGTTTTTGACTTCACATTACTTCATCTGATATATTATTCATGTCGCAATCAACCATTACCAATAAGATTTAATATCAGATTTCAGTATGAAAGGAGTCAACACTGGTACAAACTACACAATAGAAACTGTTAATAATAAAAACACCAATACCCACAATGCCCTGCAGGGAGACACAGACCTTTGAACTGTCTTCAAGCAGTTATTGTTATTTGACGTCTCATCTGGTCCAGTTCCAGAGAGACCTCCTGTGTCCGGCCCACCCCCCATCACCGCGGTGACCCCATCCAGTGGCATCGCCACCATCTCCACGGCGGCGGGTTCGGTCCCGCCCCCCTACGACCCGGTGAGCGTACGACGCCTGGAGCCCGACGTCCACACAGAGGACGACTACCTGTGGTTGTCACACTGTCAGAGTCACATCAGGTGAACTAACACACGAGAAACCGTTTGTGAGTCATGGAATATCTAAAACAGGGAGAAATGTGTATGTGCATCTAAAATAAAAAGTAAAGTTCCACTGAGAAGAAAATGATTAAACCCTTCAACTCTGGTACAAATGTTCATTTTATTTTGGTGTGTGTCTCCAGACCTCCTTTAGGATCCTCCATCTCTCTCGAAACCGACTACGACAACCTCTACCCTCCTCCCTCTGCCACCTCCTCCTCCTCTTCCTCCTCCTCCTCTCCGTCCCTTCTTCCCAACGGCCTCCCTCATCCGTCCTCCTCTAAGACGGCTCCGTGGACAGTGGCCTCGATGACGGGTCCTCTCAGCCAGTCTCTGGACGCCAACATGACCTCTGACCCCCAGAGGCGAGCGGGCAGACCTCGCTGTCACCCCTCTCCCCACCCCAGGAAGCACTCACTGGATTTCCACCTGCGTCCCGTGGCGATACCTCTCATTGAGGACACACACTCCAACCTGCATCAGAATATGCACTCATACCAGATCCCCCGTCCCGCATCCACGCCACAGCCGCGACCCCCCCGCCGCCCCTCCTCCACACCAAGTGTGGACTCTTTAACCCAGACGGAGCTCCATGCATCCGTCCCGACTCCTCCTCCGCGGCCGCCAAAGCCCTCTGCGATCGCAGCCCAGGGAGAGAGCTCAGCTGTGGGGACGGGACCTGCAACGCTCCCCCGGACCTCCTCCGAGTCCGACAGGAGGGATGGATGTGTGGACGGAGGCGGTGGAGGTCTGCTGAGGAGCAGCACCGTCAGTATACCAGGACGCACGCAGACAGGTAAGAGGGATGCAGCGTGATTGACAACTGGTACCTCAAGCTCACGGCCAGGCTCCACCCCCTGCTCCTCCAAATATGGTTAGTTCTGGTTTAAAAAAACCAAGATGGCGCTGGACAGAATCACTAATGGGCAACATGGTGGGTTGATTCTTTGTCAGTCATTAAAGACTGTTTACATACACGGCTCCAGTCGTATTACATGAATGTAAATGGAGATACAGCCACATCCTGCAGGGGGCAGCATTGTCACTGAGAGCCTGAGGGAGCTGAGGTTATGAAGAGGCTTCATTGTGCAGCAGTGACGGATTATATCAGCTGAAACGATTTGTGCCTGTTTGCACCACACTTTAATTGGCTTAAGTTTCATTAATGCGAGCACTTTGCCCGACAGCAGCACAAAGACTTTATTTTCAGACAAATCTCTGTTTCTGGTGAAAACGCACATTGTCCCAAAATAGTCGATTCCCTTGTTGAAGAATCTGCTGCTTGAGGAGCAGATTAATGACGACAGCCATTATATTCATTAATGCTCAATAGACAGTTTCTTTAGCTGTAAGAGCTGCACAAGATTTCAATCAGGAGATTTTTGAGTCTTTCTTCCACCACTTTGTTTCAGGTTGCGAGTCTTTCTTCATCCCTCAGTCGCTGTCGGACCGAGCGAGCATGTTCGAGTTCAGCGACAGCTTCAACAGTTACTTTGTAAGTTCAAACTTTTTAAAGCTCAACAATAAAATACAAACAATGAGAGAATTTCCTGTTGTACGTTTTATTTATTTAATATTCTCAGACAAATTGCACCAAATTATCAACAAGTGGACTCTAACCATCGTCCTCTCTCAGTTTAATAAAGGCATGGTGCCTCTGGGAAGTGTCTGCTCTGAAGACGATGAAGTGGATGAAAACTATGTTCCCATGAGCGCTGCCACCACTGAGCCTCCTGTGGCACCAAGGTCAGTCTTCCCTCACCCAAACCACATCCTACCACCACGTTCTGTTGAAATTGGTGGATTAGTTTTTGCGTAATCTCATTTATAAACAAACACAGATGAAAACATAACCTCACTGGTGTTTCAGTGAAGAGTCTGTATCCTGCATTATGTTTTAGCACAGAACAGCTTTTAGAAATGTTGTGCAAAGTTCCGTGATCCCTGCACCAAAGTTTTAATCGGTGTAAATCATTTTAGTAGTTCGGCTCCGACCTCCTCATCAACTGAAAAGTCTTCTTCTCTTCCAGGGTGCCTCCTCACTCTGACTCCTCTGTGCCACTCCAAGATGGCAACTACGTGGCCATGATCCCCATGAACCCTTCCCTTCCCACTCAGCCCGCCGCAGGTGATCTGGGGAGGCAGGTGCCTCCGCCCGTCCACATGGGCTTCCGCAACTCCCCCGCTCCCCTCACCCCGCCGCTCCGGAGGAACACGGTGAGCACGGGCGGGGGACCACAGGTGGAGTCCGTGCCCCCCCCGATCCACCGCGACCTGAAACCACAACGCAGAGGTGAGCTTCAGCAGATCCGGTGATTTGATGTTTCATCTCCGCAGCGTCAGTCACGAGGTGAAGCAGAACATTATCACGTGTTTGAACTCAGTAGAGCTCAAACCTCTTTGGGTTTTTTCCTGGTCCGTGTCACATCCCTCCACCAGGGTTACTGGGGATCCATCCAGTCGCTCTTGTGTAATCCTGTTCACAAACAGCACTGAATCGGACAGAGGTCCAGTATTCAGAGGAAACTTTAAAAATATTCTGAACAGAGTTTGGTGGATTTGTAACAGCTGCAGCTCTTCTGGTTCAGGAAGCCAGGGATTATGGGTAATATCCAGCATTCAGTTGTGTTTCAGTTCAGTGGTAGGACTCAGTCGGAGCTCAGAACAACAACAGAGGCAACGATTGTTTTTTTGTCAATGATTATTTTTGTCCCTCGCTCTCTCTCGCTCTGTCTCTCTCTCCATTTCCCTCCATCAGTGTGTCTGTTCGTCTCCTGTCGTCTTTTTTCCCCTTCTGCCTCTTTGAGTTTTTAATTATTCACCTGCTTCCACTTTGCTGCAGTACGAGTGTGTGACGTTCACACACGCTTCAGCACACACACAGCCGGAGGTGACAGAAACGTTCCTTCATGAAATATGAACAAACTCTGACGCTTTTATTTTTGATTTCAAACATAACTGTCGTTATTAGATTTTAGGTGACTTTAAAGTCACATGAGGACGACATCCCATCTGACTGTCGTCCCTCGTGCTTCACGCTTCAGTGAATCACGTTCATCACAACGATCTGAACAGATCTTTGTTTTATCTTTATTATGGTCGATCTGTGGAAGGTAAATAAAGATGGACGACGTGGCGGCTCACAAGAGGTGAAGTCAAAGTGTCTTGCTCACCCCCTGGTGGCTGGCTGCAGTATAACTGATGAACCTGTTCTGTAACCCCCCCCCAGTGAAACCCGCTCCTCTGGACATCACGTTGGTGCAGCAGGACTGGCAGGAAGTCCCGCCCCCTGTCCGCTCACCTGTCACCAGAACCTTCACAAGAGAGTAAGTGTGTGTGTGTGTGTGTGTGTGTGTGTGTGTGTGTGTGTGTGT